CATCATGGCACCACACCCTACATCAGGCCACTCTTGCTCATGATGCATGTGTGCAGAATGTGCAATTCTCTGCCACCTCATTTTCAAAGCACAGGCAAAGCCTGGTCCCCATTTGTTTATGCAGAGACAAGTCTGCAGACAGATGGGCTCAACCTGTCCTTCCTTCCTTCCTTCCTCTTGCCTCCCACCTTTTCCCAAGAAGGCCCACTGCATGCTTGCACCTGCAATGGTGCCACAGCACTTGCTGAAACACCTCCTCTCCTGCTCCAGGGATGTTTTTGCCTGTGACCAACAAGCTGGTGCTGGTGTTTCACAGTGCTGCTCTTCAAGCCCCTCTTTCATAGCCACACCACAATTCCTGATCCTTGCAGCCGGGAACCTGCTTATTTGTTATCCTTTGCTGACAGAAACAAAAAGGAGTGGAGGTGGGGTGCAGGGGGCAAGAGAGAAGTGTGTTTTCATTTCTGTGCTTTTGATTTTGTCTGAGCAATATAGAAAAGCTGTTCTTACACCAATGGTGTGGTCACTGCTGGGGCAGCAAGGGCATGAACAAGAGGGCCCGTGAGCCCTGCAGTGCTGCATGAGGTGTAGTGGTAACGCTCCCTAAAGGGAACCCATGCACAAGTTTTCATGTGAATAATAAAAACCCAAGCCTCCTCACTCTTCTCAATGTTCCAATCCCTCCTTCTGTTTTCTCTATAATTCCATTTTCATCTCTCTCGCTTCTTTGTACCCTGATTTTACAGATATCACTCCTTTGGCGAAGAGCATCCCTGTGCTGAGATGATGAGTTTATAAGCAAAGGGCTGCAACAAATGCCTCGTGAAGCCCAGCCAGCAGGCCCCAGCCCCCTTCTTCCCCTCCTCAAAGTTCACACGGTTTAGTATTCAAGCTTCCTGCTGCCTGCCCAGCCAGCTCACTATTCACAGGCAAACTGCGCTCCTCCGCTTGGCTCCCGAAGAAGAATAAGTATAAAAAGCCCTGAAAGTCTTGCTGCTGAGCCAGCAGGAAACTCAAACTGCTCTGAGCATGGGAACCAAGAGAAATGCTGTGGCCAGCACAACAGGTATTGTTTGGGAGGAAATCCCGGCAGCAGACACGACTGCCTACGCACACACAGATATATATGTATATGTTTAGTGAGGGTTTGGCAAAAGGGAGGGTTGGGGAAGTGTACGAGGAGAGAAGAATAGATTAGCAGCTATATCCAAGAAAGAATGAGAGAGCTGCTCAGCCAAGATAAACAGCTATTTCACTAGCCAAAGAACTGACCCGTTTGCCACGTATTCAAACCATGTGGGGCCTCAAAGTGAAGTGATGAGTCTGGCCTTGGTCTCTTGACATTGGGTTTTTAACAAGTCTTTCTATATCCTGGATTTTGTTCATATCATGAGTGAGTTTATGAGGCAAATGTCATGTTTCTCCCACTTGCTGTGTTTTGATTTATGTCAGGGAGCATTTTTTAATCTGGATTCCCTTTGAGTGAAAGGAAATGAGGAGATGGACTCCAGGAGCACAGCTCCTGCACTCTGGCCTCTAATGAGCACCCAGTCCCTGGGAACCAGAACTGAGGCAGTCTGGTGTAAATCCCCTGACACAGCAAGTGCTCAGCACCAAATAGCCACCTCTGTGAATCAGTTTCCTGATGCACCACACCAGCTTCTAACCATAGGCACAGTCAATCTGCAAATATGGTAAATTTAAGTGCAAAAAGAGAAGGAAGAAGGAAAAACTTGAATTACATAAGTTCTTTTTTTTCAGTGAATAAAAAGTGAATAAAAATTGTGGTAAATGAGCTAACAAATGTCAATTCACAGGGATCACAACAAGAAGTTTGACAAGATTATGGTGATCTAGAAGTATTTTAATTATTATGTCTTCCAGTCTTTCTTGACAGAGATGCTCCAAAGAAATAAACCTGAGAGCAACAGGTCATTCCACGCAACTCAGCACCCCTTGCAATTATTCTAAGGAGAAGCAGCTGTGAAAAATCCCCATAAGAGAATGTGTGGCCCCAAGTCTTTGGATAAACACCAAAAAGCAGTTTGGAAACCTGGCTGAAACAAGCTGATTCTCCAGAGTCTATAACACCAGTGGAAAATGTGGCTAAGAGCTTACCTCTGCTACTAACAGCTTTCCTATAATAGTTTTTTCCTGTGCTATCTGGAAGTTCCAGGCTGCTCAGGACTTCTGCAGTGCTCTTACCCCTGAAAGTCCACTGCAGAGCCACGGCAGAAGGAGGGAGATCTGAACTCTCACCTCCTAGGCTCCCAAATGAAAAGTCCTCCAAAAAGAAAAGTATCTTAAAACTCTGCTAACTGCCTTAGTGACCCTGGCATGGGCACTGAGCAGAGATGAAAGCCAAGCAGTAGGAAAGGCAGCTGGTTGGTGCACAGATAACCTGGGATGTTCAGAGCAGCCACATGGAGCCAGGAATGGAAAATGTGACCAGTCCTTTGTGGCAGAAGGGACAGAGTCACATGCAGGAGATTTTAGTAAGCAGTGTGAAGCTCAGAGATACCCACCAGCATTTCTCCCTGTGATGGGCACCTGGAAGAAAGCAAAGCAGTCCCCTGGGGAGCAGCAGCCCCTCAGCCCCAGGAGCTGAGGTTTCCATCCTGCAGGGTGGTGACATGAAGCAGAGGCACTCACACCTCTCCTCACCTGTCCCCACTCAAAAGTACTTTGTGGAAAGGGAATTAAACTGCAGTACAGCATTCCTGCACAGCAGATGGGCTGCATCATGGATCACCCCTGCCCCAGGGAGTGCTGTATGCACACTGCACCCACAGGCACAGCTGCATGGCTTACAAATGTGCCCTTGCACATTCGTAAATGCAGTGCTGATCACAGGGAGCAAACAAGCAGCCCAGAGCTTCCCAGGTCTCTGCGGGATGAGCAGAGAATGGCCGGTGCCACTGCAAGTGCAAAGGTCACCGATTCATCCATGTGCTCCCCCGTGAAGCACAGGGACTGAGGGTGTAGGGAAAGAGATCCCACCTCCCCAGGGCTCAGGAGCAGAGGGAAAGGAGTGAAAGCCTCCCCGCCGCAGGTTCTCACACACAGCCTTGGCACTGTGCCTCCCTGCCGACCAGGAAAACTGGCTGCCATTACGTAGAGCCCCATTCAGCCTCACAGGCCCATTCAGAGCGGTGCTGGGGTGGACTGCCAGCCAGGGGGACACCCATTGACAGGCTCCGTGAGCACTGCACAGACAGGCCCTGCCCGCCGGCTGGGACATCCGCCAGTGGCTGCATGGAGAAAGGCCCTGTGCGCTTGCCCGTGTTTGTTATGGGAGTCCAAAGAGGAGAACAAAACTGCAAAGCAAGACAATACTTCTAAGCTGAAGGGGAACATTTCTTCCCGCATTAATTATTTCCCATGCTATTCCTGGCAGTGACCTTCACCAGGAAGGAAAAAAAATCAGATTTGTTTTTATATCTTTTATCCGACTTCCTATACTAAAGCCTCTGGCTAGAATGACTCACATTTATATCAGCCATCACATTATATTACACTGTATGAGTGCTGCTACCTGTCTTGTCTTCCTCAGCATTAGGGTTCATTACCATTAAACCCAGCAATTTGCAGCTATATTTAAAACTACCTGCCTCAGTGGCAGTGTCCATAATACCCTTGTTTCATCTTTGGAAGTAGTACCATGAGGATTACATTTGAGACTGATGGTGATCTGCCCACAGAATTGAAGGGAAATTTTTCTGGTTCTGTGCAGAGAAGTGTTTGCCTGTTGCAGAGCAGGCTCCTCTTCTCCAGCCACTTAGGATGAAATCACTTTTGTGCATCACTGGCCTGTTGCATACCCACTTGCCCTGTTAGAGGCTCCTAGCATTATTTCCGCTCCCTGTGTGCAACAGAGCTGCATGCTGAAACCATGGCCCCATGGGGGGAATGACCCTGATGGTTCCTCATCAACCACTGTCCCAGCTTCCCCTGCCCACAACTTACAGGGTTCTGTAGAAATTCCATTAGAGGAGTTTCAGAGACTCACGCCCCTCCCAAAGAACCTCCCAAAGACGGCAGCAGGCTGGTCCTTGTTCTCTCATTTCATTTACACTTGGTTTCTTTCTCTGCTTTACAAACACTGTGCTCACAAAGCATCACCTTTGTCATAAAAAGTGCGTTTGCAAGCAGGTTACCTTCCAGACTTCTCTTTTTTTTTTAAAAAAAAAAGGCATTTGGATTGCAGCAATGGCCTGTCTCCTGCCAGAACTGAAGCTGTGCCGTGCCAGGAGCTGTGAGAGTGCCCAGGGAGCATCCTAGCCCTCAGCTGCTTCCAGCCTAAAAGTGAAGCAGTCTAAAGGTTAAAAGAAGAATGTCAACTAGAGGTTTTAACATAATAATATACCTGAAAAAGAGTTTGATCTTCATCCTACAGAATCCCAAGGAAACCTAGTGAAAATTCAACCATCCCACAGAGTCTAGACCCTTTTGCCTGCCACAGAAACACTGTTGTGTCCACCATTGCTGAAAGACCCCTGACCTGCAGTATGAGGATGGAACCAATGCTGGCTGCTGGTCGTGCTGGGGCCCCGTTCCATCTCTGAGCTGTGGCTCATGGCATGTCGGCACGGCCGGTGCAGAATGTACCGACCTCTTCTATAAACAAAGCAGCACCATGAACCTTGGTGTGAAATCAACTAATTTAAGGCAAATTGCTGTAAGTGTGACAAACAGCAGGAGGTAAGGAAGGCTTAAGGGTACTTCCAAAAGTGTTTATTTCATTGACAGCCCCAGAAGAGGTCATAGTCTGGAGCTGGCAGAATGTCTTCAACAGCCATTGTTCTTTCTTGTGCAGGTCCATGTGATTTTCCATAACGCAAGATCTAACCACTGGGCTTGAGGCTGTAGCACAGGATTTTAGTTCAAAGAAAAAAGCCCAAGAGAGAGACTTTAAAAAAAAAAAATAAATATATATATATATCTATATATATCTATATGTTCAGGTCGCTAAATAAATAAAGAAACATGAGACATGAAAATAAATGCAATTTTTCTTTAAATTTACTGCTTCTTTCATTCATTTACTGCTGCATGGAATATATTCAATGGCTTATTGTCATCCTGAAATAATAGGTATACATTAATATCCATTGCAAAACCATCCCTTCATGTTTGTAGGCTTTGTTGATAGAGGAGAGGAAGCACACAGGCCCTCCCAGGCAAGATCGTATTCACAGGTACAAACCTTTTTTTCAGTGATGAATGAATCCTTTCAGAAATGCTAGTATCAGCATTTATACAAGGTGGCCAATGTAAACAGTAACTGCTGGTTCATTATTCTTTTTGTATCCTTTGCCAATTTCCGAATCTTCAGAGTTAGTGTTGAAACAGGCACCATTTTGTTGGAAAAGCGCAAAAATGCATTTAGGAACCAAAACCTACTGATGGGAATACTGATGACATAACCTCAAGGAAGGGCTTTCCTGTGAACTCCACCAGTGTGAGAGAGGAGGAGAGAGATTAAGAAGATGGGGATTTTGATACTTGGATCATATCTCACTGCTTGCATTCCCCCAGGAGATTTAGTACTACTTCTGAAAGCAGCTGCCAAAAATATGCTTTGATGTATCTTTCATCTGAAGCTATCTGTATTGATAAACTATGTTTGTGCGGATGAAGCACTGAATCAGATAGGACTTTTTTGTTCCCACTTCTACCACAAGTTCTTGGTGTGTCCTTGGAAAAGCAATGAGTTTGTGTGCTTGACCCCAGCCTCTCTCAGCCAAGCAGAGACCACTTTCCTACACTGGCAGCATGGAAAAAAGTTCTGTGCATCATGAGATAGACAGGTCCCACCGTACTGAGTTCTCCTGAAAGAAAACAAATTGACACTGGTCAGATTCAGGCTGCTCTAAAATGAATAATATGATTCATTAGGAAACAAATTCTTCAGTTCAGAAATTACCAGTAACAATCTTTTCTCCTGAGATTATTGCTCGCACAGATGAGCCAAATAAAGGACCATTTCAAAGGCTGTGATTAATTTCAGTGCAAAGACACTGGCTTTGCTTTGATTGCAGGGGACTGTGACTTAAATTAGGCCAGCTGACTTTGTCCTGAAGAGGACTACAGTTTCTCACATGGTCTGTAGCATAGCCCAACTGTGGATGGTGGCCAAAGCCAAAGGACATTCAACCCTGCCCTAGGACATTTGCCCTGATAAAGAGAAAATACACTGGATGGAAATGGAGTTGTCAGAAGCTGTTGAGGGCAGCTGTAGATTCCAGAAAAAAAAGCACTTCCTCAGATCACAGGGGATGACCATTTCTCCTACTTACACTCTGCTCCCCCAAGTAACTGAGCACTGCTGGATTAAGCTGGGGAGATGGGGATGGAGGAGCATGAAGCAATCTTTTTTGGTAAGGGAACATGTGTAGTAAATAACAGCTGCAAAGGCTCCCTCATGTATTGAAGTCATTATAATTCAGTGTTTTCCTTCTCAAAATCAGGTTTTAATGGGAAGCAAGTTTCAACCTTTCTAAAGGAGTACTCTAAAATAAGCTTGTTAAGCTTGGAAAGTACTTTGGGAGCCCCTGGGATGAAAGGTGCTCTAGGAATGAAAGCTGATATTTACGATTATTGCTTGAAAGGAACAGAGAGGAACAGTAATGTAAAATATGAATAGCTGCTGGTGCTAAAAAACATATCATTGACTTGGTGCCAAAGAAGATAGTCCTAGCTCTCAAACCTGGATGACAAGGATTTAAGAGATGCAAAAAGTGGAAGAGAGTCCTGCAAATAACAGCAAAAGCCAGCCTGACTGCAGGGCAAATAGGTGTCTTGTGGGTTTTTCTTTTCTTCCTCCTAAATTGCAGCCATATGATCTGATCTCTCTCATCCCAGCTCTGCCAGACAAACAGATGCCTGTTAACCAGAGTAAGTACTGCTGGTTTGTACTCATCTTAAGAGAGGAACCTAGAGATCCCTTTGGACATCAGGGGAGAAAAATATCCTTGGTAAATGGTCATATGTTATGGATTGGCCTAAGTAAATTCGTATCTTATCTCACTCAAAGGACTAAGAGCAGAAGCACTTCAGGCTAATGTAAATTAAACTTCTCTATTTTAGAAAGCTACAAGAGAAGAGAATCAGGCTAGCAGGCTCTGCTCCTGCAAACACCTACCTGCATACTCTCAGCTTGTAAAATGCCTGCTATTGATTTTACACTGGGCATTTGGCCCCCTAATGTGGCACTCCACAGCTGCTAGAGATCTTTCTCTATCCAGACGTGCTATTGAAACATCTTTATGTTGGTCTCCTGCTCTTCCACTTCTCCCTGAGAAGAGCTAAAAAGAAAATCCTTTAAGAGAAAAAATTCTAAATCTTCACTTCTTCAAAAACAAGCTTGAAAGCGACTCTAGTGCATAAGAAATCTTCCCTACAAAAACCCACAGGATTTCAGGATGTGATTTTTTTTTTTTTTAATGTAGTAGAGAATAACACAGCATGTAGCACAGGCTGAATGTTAATATCATACACATTTAAATTAGCTATAAGGATATTATTTTTTAAATGAGCTACTGCAATGAATTAACAAAAAAAAGGCTGTGCACTCCAATTCACAGGCTCCAAATGAAGACAGGATACCTTTCACAGGCATGCATCAAGAAGATGTGGGTTAGTGGGCTAGAAGAACTGGAGTGGCTCTAGGGACAGGGATTCTGCTAATGAACACCCCACCCAGGTTAGCAGCAGTCTGTGTGTCTTGGAGCAAAGCCTTGCAAGCTCTCTGCAGGCATGTCTCCCATATTTCAAATGTGGCTGTGCCCCACATCAGCCAGGAGAGCAGCATGATTGTGCTCTCTGGGTCGCTGAAGGCCGAGCAGAGCCCTGGCCTCACCTCTGGCTCTGGAGAAGAGCCATTTCATTGAATCGACACTGACAGGGCCGCTTGGCACTGCAGCTGCAGCACTGGCACTCTGTAAGGGGAAGAAGGTCCCCTGGCAGCTTGTGCTGCTGGGGCTGGGGTGTGGAGCATGCTCCTGCACAGTCCTTTCCATCAGCCCTGCTTCCTCTTCCTGGCACAGTCTAATGCTGATGGATCTGTATCAGAAATAACAGAAAGTCCTTGGCCTTTTTTTTCCTTCTTTTATTTCTTTTTTCCTTCCCTTTAGCTATTTAGGCCAGCTCTGGCTAATCACGCTCTCTAACTTACACTCAGTCACTGCCATGGCAACCATTTCAACATGCAGTTCATAGACTGCCTCTGAAACACACACACCTTGATGCTTCAGGAGAGGCATTAGAAGAGGAGAACTATCATCTGCTACACTGACACATTTTTCTACAGTATTACCTCTGGCAGCATGAATCTCTTCTTTTAGCTCTGAATAGCTCATCACTTGTTCTGTCCCCTTTTCCTCCCACCAAAATAGGTTCTTTAAAAACTGACACAGATTTATGCAGACGAAAAAGAAATGGTGTAGGAAGGGAAATGCATTCAGAAATTCCACTCTGTGGCATCTGAATTCACTCTTTTAAGAATCTTGAAAGCCTGTCCTGTTACTGCTTCACAGGAAATCCTGAGACCTGGTTATAACCATGGTGCTAGTAATTGGTTGTGGGTCCAATCCCTTATATGATCCATTCACTTAGGAGTTAAACTCAATGATTCCTGTGGGTCCCTTCCAACTAAGAAATTCTGTTTTGTTCTATTATGCCTCAGTGGAAAAGGAGAAAGCTTTGGGGGCTTCCTTCCTGGTTTTTTCGGACCCCAGGAGAGAGAGAGTGGCTCAGGAATACAGTGAGTGCTTCTCCTTTCTCCTTTGCAAAATGGCTCCTCTTCAGACGTGCAGCTGCCCTGCAATGTGCAAAAACCAGCTCTGCTTTAGTCCAAGTATAGAAAGCAAGATTTGAACAGCAGTGAAAAAAGATCTACCTGGAACATGTAGGCACATTTTTCCAACAGTCACCTCCGAGGATCTTGCTCAAGGTCTGCTGTAATTAGGTTTGCTTTTGTCTAGTCATGATGCCTGGCACCCGGGCAGCAGTGAAGTGCTGCACAGGTGTCTGCCATGCTGCCTACAAGCAGACCATTTATTCTGCTCACACTTAACACACTCTTCTCCCTGATGCAGTCAGAGGGGAGGCTCTGACTGCCAGCACCACGGTATAAAAAAATCCTTTTTAGTTTCTTTATGTAATTATAGCTGCTGTGTGGAAGAACCTGATTCCATGTCTTGAATGTTTTATGTGTTTATGTGTGTAGGTTTCAAATGTGTATATATCACATGTAGTGTCCTGTTGATCCTTATCAGGTGTAATTACACTATCCATTTCTTTCTTCCCATCTTTTTCTGTGTTTTTATCATTGTCAGCTGGCCACTAGCCACAAACAAGGCCTGCCCCCACCACTACCACCTACTTGACATCAATAAGAAAAATGTTTCTGCTGCTGAGCAGGGGAGAAGAGAAATTCAGATGCACCCATGAGCAAACAAATATTGGTGCACCTAAAGTAAACTGTGTGGAACATTTGATTTCAGTTTAAATTATTTCAGTTTAAATGATTTCACTTTAAACTCAGCCCCCCTAGCCGTAGTAGAGTGCCCTCAAACACAGTTCTTCAAACCCAAATGTTTCCCAGGAACAAAATCTGGGAGACAAGTGGCAGGAGTCCCTAAGGCAGGCAGATAAATCTCAGCCAGCAGGTAAATAATATACAGCAGTCACCTTTGCCCTGTTATTTTAGTGCAGGCACATGCAGACACGCACGCTGTTTTATAAGAACTGCAAATGCACTTTCCAGCAAGCATCATTTGTGCATACTATCTTCCACTGAAATCAAGAGAATAAGTCAATCTAAGACTGCTGAAGTCAGGAAACGTTGTGTGTTCAGAAAGAAACATCATGTACAGTCTATCAAATCTCTGGGACTCCTTGCCTATGTATAGCATGCTTGGGGAGACCCAGATACTCAGCTGTCCTTTCTAATCTGCAACCTAAAGTCAAGACAAAGGCTGGCAGGAGGAGAATATAGGACACAGCTGACTGCTTTTAGGCCACATAGCTAATGCATTTCTGTTACTGTATAATAATCATGGACAAAATTACAATACATCTGTGAATGGGGAATACCACCTCCATGGCATGCCTACACCCCACACCCAACTCTTCAGTGAATCCAATTTCTATAAACCACTGTCATGAATTTAGACTTTCACCACACTTCCCTGTCCCAATGTATCCAAATGTGCCAGTCTCCCTTGGTCTGTAGGTAAGGATGCACACTTATCCCCATGTGACAGGGGGCATGAAGTGACAAAGGCTAGAAATTAAGCTGGAAATCTTTTCCTTCTTATGTCATGCATTAGGTAACTTGCCTGACACCAGCCAGACTGGCAGCATCTAGAGCAGAAAATCAAGCCAGTGAATCAGGTGGAGCTCCACCATCCACCCCCAAGCTCTTAGTGTGGTCCTGGGCACAGTTCTGGCCCAGGCCAAACAGTGCTCTACCAAACTGTTCCCAAGCATAGTCCAGGAGTTAGCAAGGCCCAGGATTGTTCCCAAAGTAGTCTGTATGTGACCAGTTGGTACTGGAGTGCAATGGCATTTAAACATCTGTCACACCAAGGCCAGACAGTGTTAGCCATCCACGAAGAATACAGCTGCTGCCTGGTTTATTAGCACAGACATGGCCCATGGCACACAGGCCTGTGCCTCGGGCTTTTGCCCGAGACAGTGTACTTTGCTGATCAGGACACAGCTCTGAGCCAGCCATGCCAGTCCTCTCCCCCACTTTTTTCCAGTGTAGTGTCAAACTAACTTTGGCTACAGCTGCTTTAAACCATCACATCTGACACTGAAGAGGCTGAGCAGAGCAGAGTTGATGTAGCCAGTGCCATGTCCAGCTGGGAGCTGAGCCTGTCCCCGGGAGCATCATATCCTGCTATGCTCCACCCTACCAAATCCCACCAGGTGAGCATCTGGGCATACCTGGCTTGTAGTCAGGGGAAAAGATGGTGCCATAGTTGCCTGTTTCTCCACTGGAAGGGCTTCATTTTGACTTCACACAATAGGCAAGCAGAAAAGCAGCAGCAGCAGCAGTCCATCCCCTGGCATGTGGCCTCTGCAAGGCCTTCCTGCCTCAGCCCCAGCCCCAGCCTGATGTGTCTTGGCTCCAACCAAGGAGGACATCAGACTTGACCAAAGGGGTGCTGCAGACCAGACCAGAACCTTAATTGCCCAAACAGGCAGTGCATGAACATAGACTGGGCTCACACCCGGACTAAGCATTTGTTACAGACATACCCTCAGCAAGTCTGGCCCAACCATGAAATGAAGCTGGATGTCCTGAGGCCACCAGTCCTCTCTTCCTTAGCATTGTGTTCCTGGGAATATAAACCAAACCTTGCAGGGGCAGGAGAGCAGCAGCAGACATTGATTCTGTTTTCGTTTGATAAAAATGAAAAGAGGGTGCCTGCAGAGCAGATCTCCTGCATTTTCTCTCCTGCATTTTCCATCAGAGAAACATGACCTCTTGGGAGGTTGCATTAACAAGCACCTCTCCTTCCTCCACCCCTGCCTGGGCAGCATGACATCTCTTCACAGTACTGAGCTGAGGAAAGCTGACAGTTCACAGACAGTGCAGAAACCTGTACTGTGTGCACTCTCATCTCCTTTGGAATCCAGCATTGGGCGCTGTCTTGCTTTCCAAAGAGATGTGAAAGAGATTAGAAAGAAAGTAAAAAGACAGTTTTTATATTTACTTAAGAAACATTCAGGTCTTGTTGTGTTCCAAGGAAGGGTGCTGGCACAGGACAGAGATCAGGAGTGCTCCAATTCGTATGTTCCCAAGCAGGTCAGGAGAGATTGCAGAGAAAAGCAAACATTGCAAAAACCTTTTGCAATGCAAAACTCTACAAACAATTGCAAATTGTTTGAGTTAAAGCAGAGAAATTGCTTGAATGGGTTTTGAATCCTTTTCCTTCTTCCTAATAATGAGCATTTTCTTTTTTGCAAGCATGACCCTGGAATGAGAAGTCTCATAGTTTGGGGATATGTTCACACTGGGAGCATTCACGTGATCTTTCAGATCACATTCCTCCTATTTATAAGAGTATTAGTCATCCACTTAGAGAGCAGAACTAATACCATGTTTGTTAAATGACTAAATGCATGCTATGAATAACCAGTGGAGGGTACTTAAAACCACGGTTACATTCAAGAGCACACAGAGAAGACATGGCCAGCTAATGCTTAGATGGGATACAAATAATACTATTGAATGTAAAATACATTTGAAAAACAATTTGAAGACAGTTCATTCACAGGAAGAAAGGACTAAATTAACTGCATAGATTCTTTTCCAGAGAGTTCACCTAGTTATTTAGACATATAGGGGAGCTGGCAAGAATGCATGACAGCTGGAGACTTAAATTTGACAAAAGTCCAGGCAGAACTAGCAGTAAGACTAAGAGGATGGATCACAACTCTGCTGGACCTTGGCCTTTACACTACACAGAAAACGTCAGGGTTGTTGTACTTCAAGTTTGCGACTTTGTCACTGGCAAAACACGAGGTTTAGGAGCACTGAGTAATACCTAATATGTTGCTCAACTTAGCTTCAGGGAAAGCACAATACAAACCCTGCATGTTATTAGCCTCAACACGTTTGTGAGTCCCAGCCAACATGAGTAAACTTTCTGTGCCTCAGATCTTCCCAGTGGCCAGCAAACTTTCACAAGCAGTATCAGTTCCTGGGTCAGGAAAAAATGGTGCTTCCCAGGCTCTGAGGACTTCCCTGCTGTGCACACAGTATTATCAGCACTTTGGGAAGCATTCAGCAGAACGAGATAGACGTAGTCGGTACACTCAGACCATTTTTGCAAAAGCATATGAGTGCACGCATCTGTCAGGAGAGGATCTGGAGGAGAGGAGAGGAAGAGTGAAAGACAAAAAGGTGGGTGGAACAGGAAGAAGGGAAGTATAGACAGCAGACTATGTGCCCCTCTATAAAAGAAACACAGAAGCAGTCTGGGCTGTGTGAGGTGCACATTTCTGACAGCAGGGAAAATGGAAATGGGAACAGCTCTGCAAAGAATTTACAAGAGTTTTGAATAATGATGTGCAAATTATGGGCTGGAATGCAGAATATGAAAGGACTTTAAGTTCCCACCTGCCCCTCAGTTTAGCATTAAAGTCCAATGATTGCTTTCACACTGTAGAGGATGGTGCTGGGGGATGCCTGGCTGCACTCCATTTTGGCCAAACATTCTGAGGGTGAGGTTGGACATTACTGGCAGGAAGTGCCCAGATGTAGTCACCTGGCACATCAGGGAGCTGCCCTTGCCAGCACACCTCCCCAATCTCAGCCTGCCCAGAGGGAGACCAGCGCCACACCACAGGCAGCTGCTGAAAGGTTCAGTGAGAAGGTGGCAGCTAAAGGTGCAAACATCACTTCCTCATTGCAGCCTCCATGAATGCCCTGCCTGTGCAACACAGAGGATGTTTTGAATGGCAGAGCACAGGCAGTGAATCATCATATAATCACTGCTGGTGTGTCCCAGCCTCAGTGTATCATCAAGCCTTCCTTTGGGTCAAGTAACCATCTGAGTCTGACTCACCGCCACCACACAGGTTTCTCCTCGCACAGGCTGGCGTGGTCAGTGAACAGAGCTAATTGCATGTGCTCTCACTCTTTCACCCGTGATCCAGGAAGGACAGCAAGGCTGAGTGCAGCTTTCTGTGCCGACCCTGGTAGCACACAGGGTTCCCATAGATCACCTAGTCTGTTGGGCTCTACAAAAGTCAGGTAGCTAACTGTTAACCTTGTAAGTTGTCACTGTTTCCTTAAAAACTCCCCATGGGTCAAAGGGTTAGCACTTTCATGGGCTAGAGCATGTCCATAGCAAGACAAGGCCTCCAAAACACAGAATAATTGAGGCTGACAGGGACCTCAGGATGTCATCTGGTTTGACACCTCTACAAAGCCAGGCTTGAACACCCCCCTCCTAGTCCGCAGAGTCTGAGCTGCCAACATAGAGGAAGAAATCCCATACAAGCCAAGAAGCACTTATGCTGCTGAAGCCCCACCCAGATCACACAGTTAAGAAATAAAAACAATAGAGAAATCCAGCAACATCAGGTACTAGCAGAGGGCCACTGGAATGGCAGAGTAAACTGAGGGAAAGACCAGCAAACCAAGTGTAGGAGAGAGAGAAGTCATGTTTGCTTCCTTTGCTGACAAGATGGAGGCAAGAAGGGTGGTGTGCCGACATTTCTCTGTTCTCTCAGTTTGCTGCACGTGAAAACATGCCACCTCCTGACACCACGAAGGCAAAGTAGGAGTCAAGGTTGCTGCAGTTGGAAGAGGGAGCAGAGTCCTGGCTCCACCCTGCCTGCACAGTTCCTCCTTCACAGGCCTTGAGAGGGGTGGAGGGAACAGGCAACCCTCATTCCTCTCTAGGCCAGATGGGAGCAGGGCTCACCAGGTCTCACCTCCACCCTGTCACTAATATCAAATAATAATAGTATTTAGCACTTCCATAATTACCTTTGCACTCTGATATCACAGACACAGCTGAATTGGAAGTCATTAAGATCATTATAATGAGCTTCAGTGGATCCTTTCAGTCAGAGGCATTATTTAGCCAGCCCTCATTTTCGTGGTTACATCTGAATAAGCACTCTGCATTGAGGTGAGGTTCGCCAATGAGACACTGGCTTAAAGGCAGTCTTCTACTTTCAAAGGCAGAATAAGTGTCATTATGCATCATGTTTCACCAGACTTCAAAATGCCAAGGAAGGTAAGTCAGGTTACAGCTGACTCCACCTGCAAATTCCAAGAGCTGCAAAACTCTTCCCATGGACTGGCACATGGGGAAGGTCTGACATGACCCCCAGTTATGGCAGGTGCCGTTCTGGAGGCCTTCAATGCTCAACACAAGCAGCCACTACAACCTCTCGCTGCAGGCGTCAATTCAGCAGGAATTGTTACTAAAGCAGAGAGGGCAGAAGGCCAGAAGCTCTGGGAGCCCCTTGCACCGGGAACAGGAGTACTGTGCTGACCTAGTGAAGGGCTGGGCTGCTGGCCAGAGCTCAGGCAGGCAGGCACGTGGACATATGGCTGGACCGAGCATTGTTGGGGCCTGTGAGCAGAACTGAGCCCGGGGCCATCTGCAGAACAGAGGTCTGCTGGTCCTCAGTCTACTTACAGCCTCACTGAAGACGTCTTCCTTTAGCCTTTCACTAAGAAAAATTAAGTGTCCCTCTAATTGTGGTTACTTCTCTCATACCTGCTCATAAATGCAAATAAAGGCACTTATTTCTCCCATTTTTGTTCGCCCTTTGTGTTTGAGCTGTGAATCCCTTGGGAATCCACAGCCCAAATATCAAGGGCTTCTAGATGTACCTGTCTTATTAATAACAAAAGTAATGTGCTGCTTTTGTTACTGAAGTGGGAGGAAATGTAGGCACACGGAACAAGCACTTGTAATGCTATTTCTTATCTTTAAAAAAAAGAACAAAAAGGTAATCGAGTGCAATACTTTGACCAAGAGCAAAGGTAAAATCACAGCAGCTGACTCAGTGTAACAGAATAGAGTTGGCAACATTTCAGCCTGCCTTCTCAGGAACATAAACATGGGAATGTGTTAAGAGTACCATAACATATCCAAAACACTGTCTGAATGAAAGGAGTTAGTGTTGGGCAAAAGTATTATTTTCAGCAGCAAGAAAGTTATTCCAGCAAAGCACGAGGACAAACTTGTGTTTATTTCTTGGTGTTCAGGTAGTGTCAACTTTACAAATAAACCAAATCAAGGCAGAGAATCTAAGCCTGCACTACTCGCCCCAAATACAGCTAAAATGCTCTCCTAAAGTGTTTGTGACCTAACCGTTCAATCCATCCTCCAGAAGCAGGTTAAAAGAGAGGACTTGGGCAAGAACCAAACAAGTTTCAGTGCAGCTTAGAAATACAGTCAAGACACACAGCTGCTTCTCTACTTCAAGACAAACTGCTGTTTTAGTTGTTACAAAAAAAATATTGAGGAGCAATGACACTTCCTGAGCTCTGGCTGTATCTGCAGTGGAAAGGAGTTTCCCACGCCGTTTCCTTAATTAGCACAAATATGCTGACAACCTTCTCCATGCTGAAATCAAACCATAGGTCACAAAAAAGTTGATCTATCTATGCATCCAAATTCACCACATGCTGAGCCAACATGTTTCAAAGCCTTAATCAGTACCCAGATTATAACATGGCTTTGTCATGCATCCAGCTGCTGAAATAAACTTGGATGTCCCAATATGAAACCTATTTGTCCTGCAGTCAGCAAATATGAAAAGTGCCAATATATACATTTTGCAAGTGCTAGGATTGTGTGCTGGCATTTATTGGATAATTTTAACCATTATGTGAATTTATAAATATGACCAGTTGAATTAGAGAAATAATATGATCTGAAGATCAGATTCTAAGCTTGCTTAAACTGAAATAAACAGGGAGTAACTCATTCGGCATCCAGTAATTTACTCTGGTTTCCTCATGGAGAGATCAAGGCCACAGTTACCTCTTTACACAGCTCAATCTGAGCTTTAGTCCTTGTCAACAGCACGTGCTATAGTACAATCATGCAGCAGTTGAACAGAAAAGACAGCATGCCAATACAGTAAATAGTGTAGTACCAGCCCTAGGGAAAAGTTTAGCAACCTTATGACAGGTATGGTTAAGTGTGTGAACCTTGGACAGTTTTTGCCTTGTTGGTAACGCAGCTGGCAGGACAAACCCTAAACACAATTTATGCCTGGCCAGCTCCTGGCCAGCTCACAGCTAATTCTGAATGAAAGCTGTGATGTCTAAGCTGCTTCCTCCTGGCCAAGCAGCCCATTTTCCGTGACCGGTTCAGTAAGGTTGCTGCCTGTTGTGTGGACAGGACACTGCAGCGTGCCAGTGTGACTGTCTGACCCCTTCTCCTAC